AGATAGCGATAACTTCAACCTCAGTTGGATACCACAGTCAGTGACTCAATCGATAAGACATCTTGTAGATCTTGTGAAGTTTTATTCAATAAACTGAGAGAATCTTACAACAATGAACATTCGATAGGTCAAAAGATCATAATGTTTCCTGCTCCATGCCATGAGGCTTGCTGCAATGCATTTCTGGGAAAGGGGGAGTGCTATCTATACAGCATTAACTAAACCAAAAGGAAAGAGAAGAGCAGAAACAAAATACAGAAAACACTTAAAGGCATATGACAGTCAATATGACAGTCATGTGAAACATGACACTCCCCGTCGAAATCTATCTATTACAATAAACTTTAGTTCAAGTCCAATATAAAATAATGAAGATTCTTTCCAGAAACATCTGCAAAACAAGAGGGAAGGGAAGAACAAAGGAAAACAATGCAAATATTCAGCATAATACTTGCAGATGTTGGTCTCAAAAGTCCAGGCTGAGACATGGAAATCCATATTCAGAGGGAAAGGCAGCAACATGCACCATTCCTTCTTACCTCCCTTTAAATCAGGTTGATGACCTGTCTTCCTCTTTGGGCAAAAGAAGTCCTAGTTCCTTCATAGGCCTGAAGTAAAGGTGTGCAGAACCTTCTTTCATGGTGGATATAGCCAAGATGTGTCCCAAAATGCAGTAGTAGGTACTTCACGACTGTTGCAGTCAGCAGGGTTGAGGCTTGTGGGAACATAGTGCCATTGTTCAGGCGTAGAGAAGACCTGAATCTCTCTTCTGGTGGCATTCTTTAAGGATGTTTGGGTGAAAGAACATGGTATCTGGAGTTCTAATGCTTTTAGAGACTGTTTCCAGGATTCCCACCTTTGTGGTTTCTCTTTGGGTAAGGGGGTATCCCAGTCTGAGCTTTCAGAAGTAAGTTGTCAGCAGTATCTTACCCTGAATGGTGAGAGGCAGGGGCGGATTGATCATTTGGAAACTCGGGCACTGCCCGAGGGCCCGGGGTCAGTAGGGGGCCCCATGGGATACCCCTGGTACCTTTTTCATAGGCTCTCGAGTTTGGGCAAGGACAGAGGGGCCCCATGATCCCCTATTGCCCAGTGGCCCCATGAGTTGTCAGTCCGCCCCTGCTGAGAGGTGTAATGAAACCTAGCGGATCATAAATGCTGTTCACTGTAGACAAAACTCCTCCCTTTGTGAAGGGCTTGTCACAGGCTCAGGGGCGGACTGACAACTCATGGGGCCCCCGGGCAATAGGGGATCATGGGGCCCCTGTGTCCTTGCCCAAACACAAAAAAAAAAGCCTATGAAAAAGGGACCAGGGGCATCTCATGGGGCCCCCTACTGACCCCGGGCCCTCGGGCAGTGCCCAAGTTTCCAAATGGTCAGTCCGCCCTTGCACAGGCTGATGCTTGAAATGTGAATGTGTCTTGTTTAACATTCCAGAGCAATCCAAGACTGCGTTGTGTAACAGGTCAGATCCTAGCTGGAATTTCTTCACACCGACAGCATGGTCATCAGAACAGGGGCGGACTGACAACTCATGGGGCCCCCGGGCAATAGGGGATCATGGGGCCCCTGTGTCCTCACCCACACTCAAAAAAGTCTATGAAAAAGCCAATGAAAGGTACCAGGGGCATCTCATCGGGCCCCCTACTGACCCAGTGCCCGAATGGTCAGTCCGCCCCTGCATCAGAAGGAAAGGCTATCATGACCTTGTCACATTTTCCCTAACCAACAGAGTCTCTGTCCCTGACCTACCACTCACTCCATATGATGTTGGTCACCCTATTATCAGCAGTACTTTCCTCACCCTGTCACAGCGTGGGGAAAGTACTACTGATAAACGGCAACTGTGAAAGGATTCATCTACACTGATTATCAGTGCAGCCCCAAAATTTCCCAACAGTGCTACCCATCAGTGCCCAGCAATGCTGCTAATCTGTGCCCAGCAGTGTTGCCAATCTGTGCCTGTCAGTGCTGCCAATCTGTGCCCATCAGTACCACCAGTCAGTGTCCTTCAGTTCTTCCTATTAGTGCCCATCAGTGCTGCCTATCAGTGTCCATCATTGCCGCCTATCAGTGCTGGATATCAGTGCCTCCTCATCAATGCCCGCCAGTGCCGCATATAAGTGCGGCCTCATCAGTGTCCATCAGTGCTGCTTATCAGTGCGCATCAGTGCCACATATCAGTGCAGCCTCAGTGCCCATCATTGCCGCCTATCAGTGCCCATCATTGCCGCCTATCAGTGCATCCTCATCAGTGTCCATCAGTGCCCATCAGTGTCGCATATCAGTGCAGCCTCATCAGTGTCCATCAGTGCTGCCTATCAGTGACCATCATCGCCGCCTATCAGTGCTCATCAGTGCCGCATATCAGTGCAGCCTCAGTGTCCATCAGTGCTGCCTATCAGTGCCCATCATCACCGCCTATCAGTGCAGCCTCATCAACATACAATCAGTGAAGGAGAAAAATTACCAGTTTACAAAATTGTATAGAAACACAAAAAAGCGTGCTTTTTTCCCCCCAAATTTTTTGTATTTTTTAGTTATAGTGCAAAGAATAACCCCCCCCCCCCCCCCAGTGGTGATTAAATACCACCAAAAGAAAGCTGGATTTGTGTGAACAAAATGATAAAAATGTCATATGGGCACAGTGTTGCATGACCGCGCAATAGTCAGAGTACGCCAGCGCTGAGCCCCGGTTCACATATATGTGGCCGTGTGGGCCGCGTTTTGCATGGGCACGAGAGCCCATTAATTTGAATAGACTCCTGTGCCCGTGACACGCAGAGAAGTCCCGGCACTTCTTCTGAAAACGCAGCCGAGGTTCCCAGTACAGTTGCGTTTCCCAGTGCGGGCAGCGTACCATTAGAACTAATGACACCCACCCGCGGGTCCACAATTCTCTGTGCGGGTGGTGCGGCTGCTCGGATTTTTGTAGGGATCCTCAGCGGCACCACCCGCACAGATCTGAACTGAGGGTGAAAGCTGAAAATTAGCCTGGGATAGGAATGGGGGTGAAAGTGCCCGGTAGGCGAGGAGTTAAATTTACTACCTCAATGGAAAATCTGACCCCCCCCCCATGCAACCCCTCCACATAATGAAACAAATGCGCCTCCATTCGTATATATCGAGGATCATTACCGACTTAGCTGAAATGCGATTTTCTCTTTTATGTCCGGAAAAAAAAATTGTTTCTTGATCCTCATTTGGCTTATTAAGTAGTCAGAAGGAAATCCAATAAAATGGACGGCTTACGGCTCGGAGGTGAGCCGCCAATGTGCGCCCATTGTATGGCGCAACGCCGGAGCGTTCTTTGTGTGCCAAATGTTTAATAAGGTAAAAAAGAAACTCAAGTACAATGCGTTTGATGAGGGATTCTGCAGGCAGCCAATGACGTGGGATGGACCTCCAGCCACGCGCCCTTCCAGCACTTGATTTTCAGGTGACAAAGAAACGTAAAAAAAAAAAATGAAATGTGTTTCTCCAGCCGGGCACAGCGGCGATTATGCGAGCGAACGCTCTGATTAATAACTCCTCGAAGGGACTAGAAAGCCCCGCGCCGCCTCCGATTAATACCAAATAAAGCTTTTACGCCACGTCTTGTAATCACCAATTCATGGTTGTGTTCTCCGGGACGGGAGCAGATTCCCTGGGGGCTCCCGCCAATTACTAGCAATTCACCAATTAATTACTTGCTGGACTTCTCCTTAAGAAAGGGAATCAGTCAGTAGGCCGAGTGCCAACATCCGGTGCAATGGCTGCAATACGGTGAGGAAACGGGGCGTCATAGGAGCACTTCTGTACAGGAAACGGACATTAAATATTGATATTAGTGCAATCGCCATTTTACTAACCACTTCCGGTCCAGACGCTTCCCTCCCCCCCCTCCAGTCCGGACGCCTTTCCCCCCTTCCAGTCCGGACACTTTCCCCCCCCCCCGGCCCGGACACTTCTCCCCCCCCTTCTGGCCCGGACGCTTTCCTCCCCTTCCGGTCCGGACGCCTTCCCCCCCTTCCGGTCCGGACGCCTTCCCCCCCCTTCCGGTCCGGACGCCTTCCCCCCCTTTCCGATCCGGACGCCTTACCCCCCTTTCCGGTCCGGACGCCTTCCCCCCCTTCCGGTCCAGGCACCTTCCCCCCTTCCGGTCCAGACACCTTCCCCCCGTTCCAGTCCGGACGCTTCCCCCCCCCCCCCCCCTTCCAGTCCAGACACCTTCCCCCCATTCTGGTCCGGACGCCTTCCCCCCCTTCCGGTCCGGACGCCTTCCCCCCCTTCCGGTCCAGGCACCTTCCCCCCCCCTTCCGGTCCAGGCACCTTCCCCCCTTCCGGTCCAGACACCTTCCCCCCGTTCCAGCCCGGACACTTCCCCCCCCCCCCTTCCAGTCCAGACACCTTCCCCCCGTTCCAGTCCGGACACTTTCCACCCCCTTCCAGTCCAGACACCTTCCCCCCGTTCCGGTCCGGACGCTTTCCCCCCCCGTTCTGGTCCGGACGCCATTCCCCCCCTTCCGATCCGGACGCCTTCCCCCCCCCCCTTCCTGTTCGAACGCTTTCCCTCCTTTCCAGTCCGGACACTTCCCCCCCCCCCTCCAAAAATTTTGAAAAAAAAAAAAGTGTTTTTCTTATAAAATTTTGCAAATAAATAATAATCATAAATCTTGGCCAAAATTTATTCCGTTATCTTTAGTAAAAAAAAAAGATTGTTTTACATTTTTATAGTATTGTTTTTGTTTTTTTTTTTACATACTGTCACCCTAGCAGTACAGTGTCACCATAGTTGTTTTTGTTTTTTTGTTTTTTTACACACATTGCTTTTACACCCATCTTTCGCTCTGGCTGCATTCTTGCAGCCATTGAGAAATACTGTGAGAGCTGTGATTGGTCACAGCTTGTAACATGGTACAAGGCTGTTGTGAATTGCCCTGTACCATGTGATCATTCACACATTTCACATGTAGTAAGCAATGATGTCACAAGTGACATCTTGCTTACTACTCTGCATGTGATCACTGATTTGCCAATCAGTGATCACGTGATCGGGACCTCGCACAGAGGTTCTGATTGACGATTGGTATTCCACTGTGTCTGGAGGACACAGAGGGCACCAGATTGTGGTGTTGTCCGCTCCCAGGGAGCGGGCCAAGGCAGGGACGATGTTTATAAATGGCCACCTGCCCCTGCACTGCCACCGCCTGGCCATTTATATACATGGGCTGGACGGGAGGTGGTTTAAATTGAGTTTTTCCTATATCTCAATCAATCCCAAAACTGATCTCACAATATTTCCTCCCCGACGTGCCCCTTCCACTGACTTTTCTGTTAAAGTCACCGGCTCAACCATCAACCCATCCCCGCAGGCCAGGGTGCTAGGTGTAATCCTGGACTCTGAAGTATCCTTTCGTCCCCCATATCCAATCACTGTCCAAAGCTTCCACTCCACTGACCTCCACTCAGTGCCTTCCATCCCCCTCTGATCTCCTCTCAGTGTCCTCCACCCCTCTCTGCCTATCCCTCCACTGACCTCCACTCAGTGTCCTCCACCCCTCTCTGCCAATCCCTCACTGACCTCCACTCAGTGTCCTCCACCCCCAATCTCCTGCCAATCCCCACTCCACTGACCTCCACTCAGTGTCCTCCACTCCTCTCTGCCAATCCCTCCACTGACCTCCACTCAGTGTCCTCCACTCCTCTCTGCCAATCCCTCCACTGACCTCCACTCAGTGTCCTCCACCCCTCTCTGCCAATCCCTACACTGACCTCCATTCAGTGTCCTCCACCCCTCTCTGCCAATCCCTCCATTGACCTCCACTCAGTGTCCTCCACCCCTCTCTGCCATTCCCTCCACTGACCTCCACTCAGTGTCCTCCACCCCTCTCTGCCAATCCCTCCACTTACCTCCACTCAGTGTCCTCCACCCCTCTCTGTCAATATATATCCAGGTTTTTTTTCCAATCCATTATGTTCCCCAATCTGCAGATCCAAACCATCCTGCGGGGATTGTTGGCATGCAACCTATACGGGGTGACACCGGACCCGCTGCACGAAAAACGGTAAGTTGTAAAGCAAGCCGACGATCCTTGTAACGGAACCGGACCCCGTCTGCACTGGGGTATTTCCGTTAGACTCTGGCTTCGCAGTCCTAACACAGATCCACGGACACCACCGCTGGCCATACAAGAGGAGACAGCACCAGACTTGAAGGAAACCAGAAAAAAAAAAAAAAAGACTGCTTTATTTTAAACAAAGATACAAGATATATACACAGGACGGGGCAATACATTTAGTAAAAAGAGACACAGCAGACACCCCCCCCCACCAAGCCAATACACAAACACATACATCCCATAATAGTTTGCTCCCAAGCAAGACACACAATAGAACAATGGGACAACCATATGGCATTAAACCATGAACAACCCCCACCTATACATGTCTACACAATATTAGGACATTTCACCCTGCACCCCTAACAGGCACAGGGTGACTTACACGTAAGACGGATATGGGGAGCTGAGACAGGGGTCTCCCCACCTCTCCAAAGGGGGCTGTGTTCCATGGGCCCCCCACCCAAAGTGACTCCTGTCACAGACCTGTTTTTAGTTTCTCATGAAAAATTTTATTTCTGTTGATCCCTGTAAAAAAGGGAATTAAATCCTCCGATCCGCGGTGCTATGAAAATAAAACACGAACCTTCCAGGACGGTGAATACTTCATGTATGTTGTTGTATCTCACCGTACTCACTGGAGGGTAACCGTACTCACTGGAGGGTAACCGTACTCACTGGAGGTAACCGTACTCACTGGAGGGTAACCATACTCGGTGGAACGGAAAGCTTACAGCTCGTGAAATTATTTTGGGTTTAAGGTGTTCTAATCTGAAGGACGCGTATTTTCCAAGAACGGGGAGAGAGGGATGTTCCGCACATCGCTGGGTTTGCAACATTTTATTTTACATTATTGATTACGTTGGGGACCGTAGTAGAATGAAGGGCGGCACAAGCTTCTAGCAGCCACTTCAGTTTACGATATGTTTGCCTGGCTCTAATGTGGAAGGAAAAAAAAATGAAACGATATAAAAGATGTGATAAAACGGCTCTGGAAAAGATCAAATGTGTAAAAAAAGAGCAATCGCTATCATAACATACATTGCTCCAAAGACGTGGAAAATATCGATGTGGCATTCCATGTGTCAGATGATTCCTCAATTCAAACAGTTATGGAGTCTGATGCACAGTCTACCTCGGGAAAGGCAATCAAAAGGGATCAACCTGATGAGGTTTTCACCGAAATTGAAGCACGGAAAATTCAGGCCCATCAATCTAAAAAGGATGTTTGTAAAACGGTATCCCAGAGACAGGCGATGAAAGAGAAAATGGGCCACCCCACATGGAAGAGGAATTTATTTGAAATACATTTAAAAAATATTCTTCCCAAATATATTGGCATCGGTACCGGTCAGCGACATTCTGCCCAATGATCAGGCGTCAGTACCGGTCAGCGACATTCTCCCCAATGATCAGGCGTCAGTACCGGTCAGCGACATTCTCCCCAATGATCAGGCGTCAGTACCGGTCAGCGGCATTCTCCCCAATGATCAGGCGTCGTCAGTACCGGTCAGCAACATTCTCCCCAATGATCAGGCGTCAGTACCGGTCAGCAACATTCTCCCCAATGATCAGGCGTCAGTACCGGTCAGCGACATTCTCCCCAATGATCAGGCGTCAGTACCGGTCAGCAACATTCTCTATCAGACGTCAGTACTGGTCAGGGACAGTGGTATTCACTCCAATGATCGGGCGTCAGTACCGGTCAGCGGCATTCTTCCCAATGATCAGGCGTCAGTACCGGTCAGCGACATTCTCCCCAATTATCAGGCGTCAGTACCGGTCAGCGGCATTCTTCCCAATGATCAGGCGTCAGTACCGGTCAGCGACAGTCAGCGACATTCTCCCCAATGATCAGACGTCAGTACCGGTCAACGACATTCTCCCCAATGATCAGACGTCAGTACCGGTCAGCGACATTGGTATTCTCTCCAATGATCGGGCGTCAGTACCAGTCAGCAACATTCTCCCCAATGATCGGGCGTCAGTACCGGTCAGCGACATTCTCCCCCCAATGATCGGGCGTCAGTACCGGTCAGCGACATTCTCCCCAATGATCAGATGTCAGTACCGGTCAGCGACATTCTCCCCAATGATCAGATGTCAGTACCGGTCAGCGACAGTGGCATTCTCCCCAATGATCAGACGTCAGTACCGGTCAGCGACGGTCAGCGACATTCTCCCCAATGATCAGGCGTCAGTACCGGTCAGCGACTTTCTCCCCAATGATCAGGCGTCAGTACCGGTCAGCGACATTCTCCCCAATGATCAGGCATCAGTACCGGCCAGCGACCTTCTACCCAATGATCAGACGTCAGTACCGGTCAGCGACGGTCAGCGACATTCTCCCCAATGATCAGACGTCGGTACCGGTCAGCGACATTCTCCCCAATGATCAGACGTCGGTACCGGTCAGCGACATTCTCCCCGATGATCAGGCATCAGTACCAGTCAGCGACATTCTCCCCAATGATCAGGCGTCAGTACCGGTCAGCGACATTCTCCCCCCAATGATCAGACGTCAGTACCGGTCAGCGACATTCTCCCCAATGATCAGGCGTCAGTACCGGTCAGCGACATTCTCCCCAATGATCAGGCGTCAGTACCGGTCAGCGACATTCTCCCCAATGATCAGACGTCAGTACCGGTCAGCGACATTCTCCCCAATGATCAGGCGTCAGTACCGGTCAGCGACATTCTCTCCCCAATGATCAGGCGTCAGTACCGGTCAGCGACATTCTCCCCAATGATCAGGCGTCAGTAACGGTCAGCGACATTCTCCCCAATGATTGGGCGTCAGTACCGGTCAGCAACATTCTCTCCAATGAGCGGGCGTCAGTACCAGTCAGCAACATTCTCCCCAATGATCGGGCGTCAGTACCGGTCAGCGACAGTGGCATTCTCCCCAATGATCAGACGTCAGTATCGGTCAGCGGCATTCTCCCCAATTATCAGACGTCAGTACCGGTCAGCGACATTCTCCCCAATGATCAGGCGTCAGTACCGGTCAGCGACATTCTCCCCAATGATCAGGCATCAGTACCAGTCAGCGACAGTGGCATTCTCCCCAACGATCAGACGTCAGTACCGGTCAGCGACATTCTCCCCAATGATCAGGCGTCAGCACCGGTCAGCGACATTCTCCCCATTGATCAGACGTCAGCACCAGTCAGCGACATTCTCTCCCCAACGATCAGACGTCAGTACCGGTCAGACGTCAGTTCTCCCCAATGATCAGGCGTCAGCACCGGTCAGCGACATTCTCCCCATTGATCAGGCGTCAGCACCGGTCAGCGACATTCTCCCCATTGATCAGACGTCAGCACCGGTCAGCGACATTCTCCCCAATGATCAGGCGTCAGTACCGGTCAGCGACATTCTCCCCAATGATCAGACGTCACTACCGGTCAGCGACTTTCTCCCCAATGATCAGGCGTCAGTACCGGTCAGCGACATTCTCCCCAATGATCAGGCATCAGTACCGGCCAGCGACCTTCTACCCAATGATCAGACGTCAGTACCGGTCAGCGACGGTCAGCGACATTCTCCCCAATGATCAGACGTCGGTACCGGTCAGCGACATTCTCCCCAATGATCAGACGTCGGTACCGGTCAGCGACATTCTCCCCGATGATCAGGCATCAGTACCAGTCAGCGACATTCTCCCCGATGATCAGACGTCAGTACTGGTCAGGGACATTCTCCCCAATGATCAGACGTCAGTACCGGTCAGCGACATTCTCCCCAATGATCAGACGTCAGTACTGGTCAGGGACATTGGCATTCTTCCCAAAGATCAGGCAGCAGCACCAGGGCTCAGGTAGTGCTGGGATAAGTAGTCCCTCCTCCAATTTGAAAACACAGGCTCAGTCTGTCTGGGAACAACACCTCCCACAAGTCATAGTTGCTCCCTGCAGGAGTTTCCGTGATACCTGCTCATGGTTCCCTGATACCTGCTCATGGTTCCCTGATACCTGCACACGGTTCCCTGATACCTGCTCATGGTTCCCTGATATCTGGTCATGGTTCCCTGATACCTGCACATGGTTCCCTGATACCTGCACATGGTTCCCCGATATCTGCTCATGGTTCCCCGATATCTGCTCATGGTTCCCCGATACCTGCACATGGTTCTCTGATACCTGCACATGGTTCCCTGATACCTGCTCATGGTTCTCTGATATCTGCTCATGGTTCCCTGATATCTGCACATGGTTCTCCGATACCTGCACATGGTTCCCTGATACCTGCTCATGGTTCTCTGATATCTGCACATGGTTCTCCGATACCTGCTCATGGTTCTCTGATATCTGCACATGGTTCTCCGTTACCTGCACATGGTTCTCCGATACCTGCACATGGTTCTCTGATATCTGCACATGGTTCTCCGATACCTGCACATGGTTCTCTGATATCTGCACATGGTTCTCTGATATCTGCACATGGTTCTCTGATATCTGCACATGGTTCTCCGATACCTGCTCATGGTTCTCTGATATCTGCACATGGTTCTCCAATACCTGCACATGGTTCTCCGATACCTGCACATGGTTCTCTGATATCTGCTCATGGTTCCCTGATACCTGCTCATGGTTCCCTGATACCTGCTCATGGTTCCCTGATACCTGCTCATGGTTCCCTGATACCTGCACATGGTTCTCCGATACCTGCACATGGTTCTCTGATATCTGCTCATGGTTCCCTGATACCTGCTCATGGTTCCCTGATACCTGCTCATGGTTCCCTGATACCTGCTCATGGTTCTCTGATACCTGCTCATGGTTCCCTGATACCTGCTCATGGTTCCCTGATACCTGCTCATGGTTCCCTGATACCTGCTCATGGTTCCCTGATACCTGCACATAGTTCCCTGATACCTGCACACGGTTCTCCGATACCTGCACATGGTTCTTCGATACCTGCTCATGGTTCTACGATACCTGTTCATGGTTCTCCGATACCTGCTCATGGTTCTCCGATACCTGCTCATGGTTCCCTGATACCTGCGCATGGTTCCCTGATACCTTCCTCATTGGCTCAGATACAGCAGCCGGAGGGGACAGAGCTGAGCCCCATTCTGTGTATCAATGGACGCAAAGGGCACAGTTTGGGAGAGAGCACACACTAGTGACCCTACAGCAAGATGCTTGCTATGGGGGGAACTGGTCTGGGAGGGAGGAGCTAGGTGCAGGGCTGTGGATAAGAGGGTACCACCAGTCCTCCTGTACAGGGCCCAGGCCAGCAAGGGGGCCCAGGTAGCTGGGTGAATCTGATGTGGGCAGGGAGGGTGATCGGCATGGTGGGGAAAATTACTAGAACCGATCCCCTGCATGTCTCTGCTGCAGCTGAAAGCTGGCTACTTCTCTTTTCCCTCCCACTGGATTTCAGATACCGCAGAGAAAGCCATACAGGGGATTGGTCCCAGTAATTGCCCCCCAACACACCAGTCATCCTCCCTGTGCACCATATGTTTCCCCCTGTTTCCCAGGCCCCCCTGTGTGCCCCCCACCGCCACAGTGCTTCTGCCTTCCCTCCCCTTTCCACAGGCAGCTGCAAGTACACAATAGCAGTATTCAGGATGGAGAGTGGGGGAAGGGCCCAGTAAAAATGTCACATTTACTAGCCCCTTGCTTTCGTGTATGAACACAATGAGTGATTGGTACTGATCACACACAATGTGTTCATTCATAACTGAAGCGTAGTAAAGCGTATTTTTTGGGGGGGAGTTATCAGGTTGGCTGTGTGGGGCCCCATGGTTTCTAACAGCAGCCCTGGGTAGGAGTGGGGGACCCAAGAAGAGGAGGATTGGGCTGCTCTCTGCAAAATCATTACACAAGGCAGGTAAGTATAAAATGTTTGTTATTAAAAACAAAAAACAAGCCTTTAACCACCTCCCGCCTGCCATATAGTCATATGATGGGCGCAAGGTGGTTCTCTCGTTCTGATAGGACGTCATATGATGTCCTCCCATTCTCACTGCGCAGCTCAGGGAGCACACAGCGCGGCGATTGGCGGTGCGCTGTGTCCCTCGAACACAGCGGATCACCGATCACGGAAAGAGCTGAAGATGTCGGCTCGGTCATGTGATCAGCTGTGTCCAATCACAGCTGATCACATGTAAACAGGGAAATATGCATTTCTCTCCTCTTGAGCTGTCACGCTGACAGAGGAGAGGAGAGGAGAGCCGGTAATCGGCTTTCCGCGGAGGGGACATGTACACTGATCATCAGGGCACTGATGATCAGTGTGCCCTGATGATCAGTGTAGCCCCAGCAGTGCCACCTGTCAGTGCTCATCAGTGCCTCGTGCTAGTGCCCATCAATGACACATATCAGTGCCCATCTGAGCTGCCTTTCAGTGTCACCCATCAGTGCCGCCTATCAGTGCCGCCTATCAGTGCCACCTATCAGTGCAGACTCATTAGCGCACATCAGTGAAGGAGAAAAATCACTTATTTACAACATTTTATAACAAAAACTAAGAAAAAACATTTTTTTCTTCAAAATTCAGTGGTTTTTGGTTTGTTTAAGAAAAAATAAAAAACCCAGGAGGTGATTAAATACCACCACCAAAATAAAGCTCTGTCACAAAAAAAAATGCTAAAAATTTCATATGGGTACAGTGTTGCATGACCGCACAATTGTCAAAGTGTGAGCGCTGAAAGCTGCAAATTGGCCTGGACAGGAAGGGATGAAAGTGCCCGGTAGGCAGGAAGGGGGTAGAAGTGCCCGGTAGGCAGGAAGGGGGTAGAAGTGTCCGGTAGGCAGGAAGGGGGTAGAAGTGCCCGGTAGGCAGGAAGGGGGTAGAAGTGTCCTGTAGGCAGGAAGGGGGTAGAAGTGCCCTGTAGGCAGGAAGGGGGTAGAAGTGCCCTGTAGGCAGGAAGGGGGTAGAAGTGCCCGTAGGCAGGAAGGGGGTAGAAGTGCCCGGTAGGCAGGAAGGGGGTAGAAGTGCCCTGTAGGCAGGAAGGGGGTAGAAGTGCCCTGTAGGCAGGAAGGGGGTAGAAGTGCCCGGTAGGCAGGAAGGGGGTAGAAGTGCCCTGTAGGCAGGAAGGGGGTAGAAGTGCCCGGTAGGCAGGAAGGGGGGGGGTAGAAGTGCCCGGTAGGCAGGAAGGGGGTAGAAGTGTCCTGTAGGCAGGAAGGGGGTAGAAGTGCCCTGTAGGCAGGAAGGGGGTAGAAGTGTCCTGTAGGCAGGAAGGGGGTAGAAGTGCCCTGTAGGCAGGAAGGGGGTAGAAGTGCCCGGTAGGCAGGAAGGGGGTAGAAGTGCCCGGTAGGCAGGAAGGGGGTAGAAGTGCCCGGTGGGCAGGAAGGGGGTAGAAGTGCCCGGTGGGCAGGAAGGGAGTAGAAGTGCCCGGTAGGCAGGAAGGGGGTAGAAGTGCCCGGTAGGCTAGTGGTTAAACATCACTATAAATGGTGTAGGGTAGTGCAGATATTGGTATCATTTGATAAAATATAGTAAAACCAATGATGTGCAGATACAAATAATCACTAACATGACCCGTATTCATTCAATAAATAAATGTTGGCTTTTGTCCATCAGAGACATTTCCAGCCTAACAGTCCACAGCGGCTCCCGAGTTTTGCTTGGTGTGAAGTCTTCAGCACGTTTTTTTATTGTACGAGTTCAGATTCCACTTTTCACTGTCATTAGGCATCATCCCCTCGGGGTTCCACAAAGAATTCCTTCTAAACACTGACATTTGTCAAATTGAGACGCCAAAACAAGCACTTCCATCCCCGATCCCAGGTAGGTGGCCGCTGTGCATGGTAATTCAGAACATCTGTGTTTTGGTCCTTGCCTTCGGTGGTTTTTGCTCCATGTTACGATTGTACCTGATAAGTTGCCATATTCAGTGTGTCTCCTATTGTCTTCATTGACGTACAGGTGTCTCCTTATATTCCGCGGAGAGGCGTACTGAGAGCGGTACGGAGAACAATCGCATGACTAAACGGAGGAACTAAAACATTTCTCTGCTGCCAGTAATTTGTTCGCTTTGATTGCTCGCACTTATTTCACAGCCATTTTCTTCGCCTATTTTTATCACGAGCCATCTGGACTCTTCCGTAAAGAATGGTTTTAGTACAATCACCGCGGCATTGATTTTTTTTAAAGCCGATTCTACTCTATGTTAGCACTATGATTTGCTGGAAGAAGATGGAGTGTGAAGTATATTCCTCCAGCCTCTCCAACACCTTTTCTGGTCCACTTCTCCTTCCTTCACCAAAGCTTTATGTCATTTGCTGTAATGATTGTCTCCATCTTGAAAATTACTGACAAGGAAGAAGTGGGACAGTTTTTTTCCACCAAATTTTTAAAGAAAAAAAAAATGAAATTGGTTGCGGTCACGGTCTCCCCCCCCTCGCCTGCTCTTCCTTTCTCCCCCCTCCCGTCAGTTCACAGGTGGCAGCAGCTCCCCCTCGCTCCCCTTTAATCCTCCCCCCTCCCTTCCCCTTGCAGATCCCTACGTCCTGCACAAGCCTACATCAAAGGCTGTGCAGGAGGGAAGGAAACGTCCCCTGTGGTGCGGTTAGCACTGCTGAGGAGTCAGGCATCCCGCTGGGCCTACACGGCGCAGGCCGATGGGGGTGTCTCTGCACGCCCTCCCGGCAGGCGCAGCATGGGCACGAGGCTTCCCGTGCTCTGCGCCCGCCGCCGGAGACAAAGGCCGCGCTCCCTGGGCGTGGCCAGAATGGGGGGGTGCCTTGTTGCCCCGGCAACCCGACGCTGGGCTGGCCATTGCAAGCAGGAAGTGTCCTGCTCCGGCATAAAAAGACCAGAGCAGGACCCAGCCCATGGTTAGTCCCCTGAGAGAGAGAGAGTGGACCGTCACCTTATTATTCACAGAAAGTCATCATTAAGCATGAAATATGCCATAAGTCACAATCATCGCACATATAGCATTTTTGATCAACGCGTTTCATGTTCCATTCCATTTTCCTCTTCTAGATCCATGCTAAGCATGGATCCAGAAGAGGCAAATGGAACATGAAACGCGTTGAGGGAAAATGCTATATGTGCGATGATTGTGACTTATGGCATATTTCATGCTTAATGATGACTTTCTGTGAATAATAAGCGATGGTGTCAGGGAAGGCCTGCCCGTAGTACAGGTGAATCTCCACAGCACACAAATATGCGCATGCGCAGGGTTCTGGCAAGCCGAGCAGATGTGCGGGCGCCTGGATAGAGGTGCCGCAGATGCGCTTGCACATGCGCACTCATCATTAATGCTGGCGCCAAGAGGGGTATTTAAACTGACTGCTGTGGTTGTCTCATTGCCGTATGGTCTTTTCCCCCCTGCTCGTGTTTCCTGACTTCCGTGATTGATTCCTGTTGCCAAAACCAGCCTGTTCCTGACTTCTGTAGCAATATGTTATATGCTGTGTATGGCCTCTAGGGGTCTCACTACTTAGATACTGGTACAACTGTGTTATTGCCTCTCGTTGGTTGTAGTTCTGGAAGCAGACACATGTATAATGGCAGCTAGAAGCACCTAATAAAATGTCTCCTGTTAACTACAGTGTGTGAGCATCTGAGCAGGATCCACTAACAGAACATGGTGGCAGTTGGGCACTGAACCTCTGAATAGCAAGTCTTCTGTCTACAAATACAGATTGTGTGACACTAGAACTGTACAGAGAATCAGCAACTGTAAGTACAGAGTCCCTATCAGACTGCACTATGGAGAGTGGCCTGAAACCCCCTCAGAGACTGGATGTCACTTCTTCCAATCTCTCACAGACATGGAGACACTGGAAGGAAGAGTTTACTCTGTATGTGGACCTGACAGTGGCACCCCAGAGATGAGCAGAGGGAAGTAAAGCTGTTTTATTACTTGATTGGGGAAAAAGGCAGAGAACTAGCCGAGACCCGGCTCACAGACAGCATGGCACTGACAGACATACTGCAAGCATTTGATAAGCACTGTGACCCCAAAAAGAATGAGACGGTGGAGAGATACAAGTTCTTCTCAAGGAATCAGGAGATTGGGGACAGTGTGGACAGATATGTGACAGAGCTGAGGAGACTGGCTGCAACCTGTGGATTTGGGGACATCAGGGACTCCCTTATCCGAGACAGGATAGTGTGTGGCATCAGAGACTCTCACCTCAGAGAAAGATTACTGAGGGAGGAAGAGCTGGCGCTGGAGAAATGTATACAAATCTGCAGGGCTGCTGAGCTGACTAAAGACAGGCTGAAGATGATGGAGGGCACCAGTGATGCCTCAGTACATGCAGTATCTGTGAAAGGCAGAGTAAGGTCCAGGCTCCCTGTGAGCTCAGTCCAGTGTAAATACTGTGGCAAAAGACATGAAAGAGACAAAGAGAAATGTCCAGCGTATGGGGAGTCCTGCAGGACTTGTGGCAAGATGAACCACTTTTCAGCTGTGTGCAGATTCAAAACCAGCAAACAGTACAGACAAGTCCACACAGTGACCCAGGACACAGACGAGGACAGCACAGTGACCCAGGACACAGACGAGGACAGCACAGTGACCCAGGACACAGACGAGGACAGCACAGAGGGCATCACATGGCTGCAGCTGCAGTCTGCAACAGAGAACGTCAATGTAGTCAAACAGCCAGTAGCCAATGATGCAAAGCAGCTCTTTGCCATATTTATGGTGGATGAACAGCCCATAAGATTTCAGCTGGATTGTGGAGCGAGCTGCAATGTCATTCCATTTACTCTGCTTAACAAACAGGTTCCCATTGAGCCCACTGATAAGGTACTGGTCATGTACAACAAAAGTGTTCTGAAACCCATGGGAACATGCAAGCTAAAATTAAGAAATCCACGTAACAGAAAGAGCTACAGAGTGGAGTTTACTGTGTTGCAGGAGGACGATCACATTCCTTTGCTGGGAGTTAAAGCAGTTCAGGCTATGGACTTAATAAAGGTGCAGTCCCATAACATCATGGCTCTGGAAGTTTCTGACAATACTCAAAATCCTACACAAAAGGCAGAATACATTTTGGATTTTCACCACATAAAAACAGAGTATGCTGATTTATTTGAAGGTGATGGGTGCCTGGAAGGTAAATACAAACTAGAAATTGATCACACAATACAGCCTACCAGACATCATCTCCTGGATATCCGCAGAGTAATGGTAAAGCCGAGTCAGCAGTAAAAACAGCCAAAAGACTCATGCAAAAGGCAAAACAGGCCGGTACAGAGATATACCTGTCTATACTGGACCACAGAAACACACCCACACAAGGCCTAGACACCAGTCCAGCACAGCGGCTTATGAGTAGACGTACAAGGACTCTCCTACCAACTGCAGGTCAACTACTAAAGCCAAAGCTTGTGGGCAATGTTAAAGCCAAACTAACGAAGAATCAAGATAGGCAAGCTTTTTATTATAATAAATCTGCAAAAGATCTGCCTGTTCTCCAGCGCAATGACAATGTACGGATTCAGCCAATAGGAAAATATGACAAACACTGGAAAAAAGCGAAGGTTGTACAGAAATTGGGACCACGGTCCTATGAAATTATAACAGAGGAAGGAAGAAGATGGAGGAGAAATCGGAGACATCTGAGAAAAACACAAGAAGGAGATGATACAGGGCCCTGGGAACAGTATATGGACACTCAAAGCGATGAGACTATGAATACCAGCAACAAAGAAACAGGAACTGCTGAGGAGCATAGGGAGGTCTCTAGGCAGAGAGAGACAGTCCCAGAAAATAGACTGCCAGAATCAGAAGAACACCAAGATTTCTGTGAAGAAACCTCATATGTTACGCGAGCTGGCAGAACAATCAGAAAGCCGGCTCACCTCAAGGATTATATCTAATTTATAGCTATGTTCTACTTCACCATTTTGTGTTTGTTATATTTCATTGTTCTTTTATTTAAAAAGAGAAAGGATGTAGCAATATGTTATATGCTGTGTATGGCCTCTAGGGGTCTCACTACTTAGATACTGGTACAACTGTGTTATTGCCTCTCGTTGGTTGTAGTTCTGGAAGCAGACACATGTATAATGGCAGCTAGAAGCACCTAATAAAATGTCTCCTGTTAACTACAGTGTGTGAGCATCTGAGCAGGATCCACTAACAGAACAACTTCTGCTTGATCCCCTCCTGCCCTGACTTCTGGCCTGTCCTCTGATTATTCTTCTGCCTGCTCTATCTGATTGACCTCCTGTGTCAGGAATAGACTCACCACTGGTGGTGCTGTACCTCACTTGCTCTGTGGGCTGCAGTACCAGCTCCTACCAGAGGGTGCTTTCAGCAGCCAGGGTCTCACTCCTGCAATCAAGCCATCACCTGAGGCTGATTTCAGGAGGTCTATTTAAGCAGGACCAGGCCTTCAATCAGTGCCTTGGTGTTTGTTTCCCATGAGCCCCTGTACCTGGTATCCTGTGAATCTTCTGTTGCCGACCTCTGCATTGTTCCTGACCCTGCTGACCATCTCCTGTTTAACCCCTGGCTTGCCTGACCATCCTTCTGCCTGATCCTCTGTACCGTGCTGCCCGTGAGTTACTGAACCCGGCTTGTGACCCTGACCATTCTCTGCCTGCTCCTCCGGTACCTCACTGCCCGCATGTTGCTGACCTGGCCTGCCTGACTATGCCTTACGCTACCCAGACGATCCATCCATCCCGCACGGATCTGTCCTTGTTACCAAGGTCTGCCAGCCTCTTCACATCAGGCTTCTTTCCCCGCACACCTCTGACGACATTCTCTACCATTGCCGGACGTACTCAGGGGTCGTGACCTGGTCTCAGTCTGCTCCAAGTCCATCCCCACCATCAGGGACCCTGGTGAACAAGCAGATTGGGACTTAGACCCCGCGCCCTGAGGAACCCCGTGCTGTGGGCCGATAGAGACGCCACCAGGTGGTGCTTAACAGTACCAAACGGCCTGCCTGACCATTCCACCTCTCCAGCCCTGACTACACCTGTGTTCCCACACACTGCTGGTCATACCCGGATTCCTGACATCCTGCAACTGAACCCGGCCTGTGACCCGACTATTCTCCTGCCTGCCATTTAATCCTGATCTGTCTCGCCAATATTCTTCAGCACACGGTGTTCCAGCATCCATCCATCCGCCACGGATAGATCTGCACCCTGCTCTGGCCTGCTACTCATCAGCCCTACAGCTGTTACCGGACAGATGTCAGGCCCTCATACCCCGCCGAGCTCCTGCGACTGCTGTCCCACTCAGCAGTCCTTGAGCCGGAGTTGTACGTCGGGCTCACTACCCAGGTACATGACAGTTGGTCATATTTCATACATGTAAAATGTATATATATTTTTTTTAATTTGCTATTGTTTAATGTGTGTTTTGTTTCTATGAGGTACAAGTAAAGTCCTGAATTAGTAGTGAATAGATAGGCACTGTACTCAAATAATATATATATATATACAGGTGAAACTCAAAAAATTAGAATATCGTGCAAAAGTTCATTTATTTCAGTGCAGCAACTTAAAAGGTGAAACTAATATATGAGACTCATTACATGCAAAGCAAGATAGTTCAAGCCGTGATTTGTCACACACGTGACCTTTAATGCGCCCCCCAGTCTTAGTCCGTAGGGTCCAATATTGAGTTGGCCCCGCCCTTTCCACACACATAACCTTTAATGGCCCCCCAGTCTTAGTCCGTAGGGTCCAATATTGAGTTGGCCCCGCCCTTTCCACACACATGACCTTTAATGGCCCCCCAGTCTTAGTCCGTAGGGTCCAATATTGAGTTGGCCCCGCCCTTTCCACACACATAACCTTTAATGGCCCCCCAGTCTTAGTCCGTAGGGTCCAATATTGAGTTGGCCCCGCCCTTTCCACACACATGACCTTTAATGGCCCCCCAGTCTTAGTCCGTAGGGTTCAATATTGAATTGGCCCCGCCCTTTCCACACACATGACCTTTAATAGCCCCCCAGTCTTAGTCCCTAGGGTTCAATATTGAGTTGGCCCCGCCCTTTGCAGCTATAGCAGCTTCAACTCTTCTGGGAAGGCCGTCCACAAGGTTTAGGAGGGTGTCTATGGGAAGGTTGGACCATTCTTCCAGAAGCACATTTGTCAGGTCAGGCACTGATGTCGGGGGAGGAGGCCTGATGTTCGCAGATGTCGGGGGAGGAGGCCTGGCTCGCAGTCTCCGCTCTAATTCATCCCAAAGGTGTTCTATGGGGTTGAGGTCAGGACTCTGTGCAGGACAGTCAAGTTCCTCCACCCCAAACTGGCTCCTCCATGTCTTTATGGACCTTGCTTTGTGCACTGGGGGGCAGTCATGTTGGAACAGGAAGGGGCCATCCCAAAACTCCTCCCACAAAGTTGGGAGCATGAAATTGTCCAAAATGTTGCCTTAAGAGTTCCCTTCACTGGAACTAGGGGGCCAAGTCCAATTCCTGAAAGACAGCTGCACACCATAATCCCCCCTCCACCAAACTTTACACTTGGCACAATGCAGTCAGGCAAGTACCGTTCTCCTGGCCACCACTAAACCCAGACATATCCATTGGATTGCCAGACAGAGAAGCGTGATTGGTCACTCTTAGAACGTCTCCACTGCTCTAGAGTCCAGTGGCGGCGTGCTTTACACCACGACATCCGACGCTTTGCATTGCACTTGGTGATGGAAGGCTTGGATGCAGCTGCTCGGCCATGGAAACCCATTCCATGAAGCTCTCTACGCACTGTTGTTGGGCTCATCTGAAGGCCACACCAAGTTTGGAGGTCTTTAGCTATTGACTCTGCAGACAGTTGGCGACTTCTGCGCACTGTGCGCTTCAGCATGCGCTGACCCCGCCCTGTCATGTGACGTGGCCTACCACTTGGTGGCTGAATTGCTGTTGTTCCCAGATGCTTCCACTTTCTTATAATCCCACTAACAGTTGAGCGTGGAATATTTAGTAGCCAGGAAATGTCACGGATGGACTTATTGCCCAGGTGGCCACCTATCACGGGACCACGCTTGGAGTCACTGAGCTCCTGAGAGCGACCCATTCTTTCACCAATGTTTGTAGAAGCAGTCTGCATGCCTAGGGGCTTGATTGTATACACCTGTGTCCATGGAGGGGATTGGAACACCTGGATCACATGATATGGAGGGGATTGGAACACCTGAATCACATGATTGGGAGGGGATTGGAACACCTGAATCACATGATTGGGGAGGGGATTGGAACACCTGAATCACATGATTGGGAGGGGATTGGAGCACCTGAATCACATGATATGGAGGGGATTGAAACACCTGAATCACATGATTGGAGGGGATTGGAACACCTGAATCACATGATTGGGAGGGGATTGGAGCACCTGAATCACATGATTGGGAGGGGATTGGAACACCTGGATCACATAATTTGAAGGGCGGGGCCAATACTTTTGGCAATATTGTGTATAATAATCTGGCTTTTGCAGGCCATACATGGGTCGAATTCCGAACAAATTTGGGATTGGGAGGGCGGGGCCAATGCTTTTGACAATATAGTGTATTTCACTTACCTGTGTGTGGCTCGGTAGGAGATTCAATTCATGTGAATGTTCCCAATTTTAATGGAATCCTTCCTTCTCATGCAGAGAATACACACCCCTTTCTCTCTACAGTCATTCAGAATGCAATGAAATGGACCAATTAACCGCGAGCAGAAAAACCCAATTTCCCGCTATTTTCTTTGCCCCATAAATAAGTTTCCACCCGGTGATCAGGTCTCATTTCAATCAAGCAATATTTGCGCAATCAATGCGCCGAGTAAAATGAGTTTGGCTTCCCATTTGTCCTGAAACCTTTCTTCTCCGGCAATTTATACGCAGCATTTTGGCGGCGCGGGATAATGGCCCCTTCCCGTCCCTTCCTCCATGATTACCCCTCCATCAACGGACGAATCAGACAGTCATTCAGAAAGCAGACCCCGGGCATTAATATATTTTATAACCTGTTACAGACGCTCTTTTTTTTTTTTTTTTTGTATCTCAAAGCTCGGCGGCGTGTTGAGTGCGAACGCTCACGGGGTGGTTTTTGTATGAAAAAGCGCCCTCGGATAATGCGGCGGGATCGGAGTATATATTTACATTGATAAAAGGAGAAGAAAAAAAAAGAAGATTCTTTGAACTCTGGATACAAAGTATCCTGGGGGGATAGTTTAGAGGCGATGAAAGAGGCAGGCTGTGAACTCGCGTCGCCCAATTGAGTGCGCATTATATCCACGGAGAAAGAATCTATATGCTGCGGGAATAAAACGCATCTACGAGGAATACTGCGAATGAAAGGGAAATGATGGGGCGTTCGGCGGGATCGGCGTCTTTAGATTCACGGGAATCTAAGTGACGACCTGTCATGGCTCGGTGAATGCAGATGGGGTGCAAATAATTGAAGTTTTTAAGTATTTGGCATTATTCAAACATATATATTATTCTAGAAGGTTCTAGAATTTTTTTTTTTATCCTTCCCCCCCTCCCACGAGTTTAACCCTTTCGCTGCCAGAGCTGTTTTTTCTTTCTTTTTTTTATTTATTTCTTTTTTCTGCACACGTATAAAAAATCATTTCAGGCCTGAAATGTATATAAAACCCCCCAAATATTATGTTTTCTGAAAGCAGACACCCTAGAGCAGCGGCTCCCAACCCGTGGAACCTCAGAACCCACATTTGTCCTTGGTCATTAAGTCGAGACCCGAAAATCATTTAATTTCCAAAACATTATAATTTATTCCACAAAACGACTCGACTCGTGTAGTATTTACATCATTTTACATAATAAAACGCTTTTTTTTTTTTTTAGACTTTTAAAAAAAATAATTATTTTAAGCATACATAAAATAACAAAAATGCACCAATACCCCCTAACTTTAACCCCTCCAGAGGATTTCCCCCCCTGGAGTACCTGGAGGAAACCCATGCAGGCACAGGGAGAACATGCAAACTCCAGGCAGGTAGTGCCATGATGGGGATTTGAACTGAAGACCCCAGTACTGCCAGGTGGAAGTTCTAACCATTTAGCCACTGGGCTATCTATCCAGCAATTTAACCCCTCACCCTCCAGAGGATTTCCCCCCTGGAGTACCTGGAGGAAACCCACACAGACACAGGGAGAACATACGAACTCCAGGCAGGTAGTGCCATGGTGGGGATTTGAACCAAAGACCCCCGTACTGCCAGGGGGAAGTGCTAATCATTTTGCCACTGGGGTATCTATGCAGCAATTTAACCCCTCACCCTCCAGAGGATTTCCTTCCCCCCCCCCGCAGTACCTGGAGGAAAGCCATGCAGGCACAGAGAGAACATGCAATCTCCAGGCAGGTAGTGCCATGATGGGGATTTGAACTGAAGACCCCAGTACTGCCAGGTGGACGTTCTAACCATTTAGCCACTGGGCTATCTATGCAGCAATTTAACCCCTCGCCCTCCAGAGGATTTCCCCCCTGTAGTACCTGGAGGAAACCCACACAGACACAGGGAGAACATACGAACTCCAAGCAGGTAGTGCCATGGTGGGGATTTGAACCAAAGACCCCAGTACTGCCAGGTGGAAGTTCAAACCATTTAGCCACTGGGCTATCTATGCAGCAATTTATCTCCTCGCCCTCCAGAGGATGTCCTTCCCCCCCCCCCCCCGCAGTACCTGGAGGAAACCCATGCAAGCACAGAGAGAACATGCAATCTCCAGGCAGGTAGTGCCATGATGGGGATTTGAAGTGAAGACCCCAGTACTGCCAGGCGGAAGTGCTAACCATTTAGCCACTGGGCTATCTATGCAGCAATTTAACCCCTCGCCCTCCAGAGGATTACCCCCCCCCCCCCCTTCCTGACCAGGCCCTTTTTTGCGATACGGCGCTGCGTTACTTTACCTGACAACGCTGCACCCAAATTAAATTTACGTCCTTTGAATGCAGATGGGATGCAAATAATTGACATTTTTAAGTATTTGGCATTATTTAAACATATACATTATTCTAGAAAATTCTAGATTTTTTTTTTATCCTTCCCCCCCCCCCCCCCCCCCCCCCCCTCCCACGGGTTGAACCCTTTCACTGCCAGAGTCGTTTTTGCTTCTTTTTTTTTGCACACATGTATAAAAAATCATTTCAGGCCTGAAATGTATATAAAACCCCCCAAATATTATATATTTTCTGAAAGCAGACACCCTAGAGCAGCGGCTCCCAACCCGTGGAACCGCAAAACCCACATTTGTCCTTGGCCATTAAATCAAGACCCAAAAATCATTTAATTTCCAAAACATTATAAATTTATTCCACAAAACGACTTGTGCAGTATGTACATAACTTTACATAATGAAACCCTTTTTTTTTTTACTTTAAAAAAAAAAAAAGTTATTTTAAGCATACATAATATAACAAAAATGCACCAATACCCCCTAACCTCTCCAGAGGATTCCCCCCCCCCCCCCCCCCCCCCCGGAGTACCTGGAGGAAACCCATGCAGGCACAGGGAGAACATGCAAACTCCAGGCAGGTAGTGCCGTTGTGGGGATTTGAACCAAAGACCCGAGTACTGCCAGGCACAAGTGCTAACCATTTAGCCACTGGGCTATCTATGCAGCAATTTAACCCCTTGCCCTCCAGAGGATTCCCCCCTTGAGTACCTGCAGGAAACTCACACATGCACAGAGAGAACATGCAAACTCCAGGCAGGTAGTGCCATGGTGGGGATTTGAACCGAAGACCCTACTGCTGCCAGGTGGAAGTGCTAACCATTTAGCTGCTTGGCTATCTATACAGCAAATTAACTCCTCGCCCTCCTGAGGATTTCCCCCCCCCCCAGAGTACCTGGAGGAAACCCACGCAGGCACAGGGAGAACATGCAAACTCCAGGCAGGTAATACCATGGTGGGGATTTAAACCGAAGACCCTACTGCTGCCAGGAGGAAGTGCTAATCATTTAGCCACTGGGCTATCTATGCAGCAATTTAAACCCTCGCCCTCCAGAGGATTTCCCCCCCCAGAGTACCTGGAGGAAACCCATGCAGGCACAGGGAGAACATGCGAACTACAGGCAGGTAGTGCCATGGTGGGGATTTGAACCGAAGACCCTACTGCTACCAGGAGGAAGTGCTAACCATTTAGCCAATGGGCTATCTATGCAATTTAACCCCTCGGCCTCCAGAGGATCCCTCCTCGCCCTCCTGAGGATTCCCCCCCCTTCCTGACCAGGCCATTATTTGCGATACGGCGCTGCATTACTTTAACTGAAAATTATGCGGTCATTCAACGCTGCACCCAAATGAAATTTACTTCCTTTTTTCCCCCACAAATAGAGCTTTCTTTCAGTGATATTTGATCGCCTGTGGGGTTTTTTTTTTTTGTGCTATAAAAAAAAAAAAAAGACCAACACTTTTGAGAAAAAAAACAATATTTTTCACTTTTTGCTATTAAACATATCCAGTAAAAAAATTTTAAAAATCAAATGTCATCATAAATTTACACCAAAATGTATTTTGCCAAATTGTCTTTGCTAAAAAAATCCTGATATGTGTAAATTAATTGGTTTACGTGACAGTTATAGCGTCTACAAATGGCGGTATAGATACTGGGATTTTGTATTTTATATTTACTAGTAATGGCGGCGATCAGCGACTTATAGCGGGACTGCAGCGGGCATTCTGACACTGGGGGGGGGAACTGACTTGGTGTCACTGACATCCCCATTGATACCAATACAGTGATCAGTGCTAAAAAAAGACATTTTACTAATAACACTGAGCAGGAAGGGGTTAACATGAGGGGTGATCAAAGGGTTAACTGCGTGCTGGGAGTGTTTTACTAGGGAATGGGGGGGGGGAGATGTGCTTCAGCCATCCAGTCTAGCCAAGTACTGGACCCCAAAATCCAACGACCACCAATTTCGGAGGTCCTGAAATGCCAGGATAGCACAAATTCCCCCAAATGACCCCTTTTTGGAAAGTAGACACCCCAAGGAATTTGATAAGAAGCATGATGAGTATTTTGCAGATCTTGTTTGTTGCCACAAGTTTTTGGAAAATGAAGAAAGAAAACAAAAAACATTTTTTGTTTTCTTTTTTTAGATTTCAAAACCTTGTGAGAAAAAATAAGATCTGCAAAATACTCACCATGCCTCTTTTTACATTTCTTGGGGTGTCTACTTTCCAAAAAGGGGTCATTTGGGGGGGGGTTGGTGCTATCCTGGCATTTCGGCAGTGTCCCCGAGCTGACAGGGAGGAAAACTGTTTTGTTTACAACTCCTCCCCATCGGAGATCCTTGGCAATCACCG